ACCTAACCCAGGCATTGTATCAAGTAATAGTTAAAACTAACTGTCATAACTGTAAAGGTACTTGCTTCTGCAGTTGTCGTGGCACACACCTTTTATCCCAGCACCCAGGAGGCAGAGGCAGGGGGATCTCTGTGAGTTCAAGGCCAGCCTGGTCTATAAAGTAAGTTCCAGTAAAGGCATGGCTACAACCCTGTTTCTTAAAAAACAAACAAACAAAAAATGCTTGCTTCTGAAAAGGCTGACAACTTGAATTAATTCCCAAAACCTACATGGTGGAAGAAGACAGTCAACTCCTGCAACTTGTCCTCTGACTTCCACAAGTGAACTGTGGCACATGTTCCTCCACCCTGAAAATAGATAGATAGATAGATAGATAGATAGATAGATAGATAGATAGATAGATAGAGAATTAAACCATGGGTTTTGTTTGCCTTCACCTACCATGGCCAAGTTTGATTGCAAGCGTGCGCCACCATATCCTTCTTAATTTTTTTCTTTGTAAATTACACATTTTGTTATAGCAGAAAAAAATCAAGACATTCAAGATGCCCCTGGTACAAGCAGGCATCAGAATCAATGCCTTTCCACAACTGGTACTTAGCAAACAATAGGAGAGGGGCAAGAAAAATTGTGCTTGCTGTCTGTTAGCATGACTGCTCTGTGACTGGTTGGCACTGGAGAGCTGGGAACTAAATTCTCTGTGGTCTCTCTGATAAACATAGATTTATTGTTTTAGCCTTTCTTTTTCTTTTCATTGTTCATGTTTATGTGTGTGCCTGAACATGTAGAGGGCCAAGGGCAACATGGGAAGTCATCCTCTACTGCGTTTTCCCCTTATTCACAGAGGCAAGGTCTCTCAGTCAACCTCGAGGCTGATCGTGCCAGCCAGCTTGTTCTGGGGATCCTGTGTCACCGTTTGTATGGAAGTACAGGCAGGATGATATGTTCACCTGACAATTACGGGGGTTCTGGGGATCTGAGCTCAGATCCTCACACTTGCACAGTAAAAGCTTTGACTGCTGAGCCCTGCCTTTTGTAACTTAACCATTCTCATTACTGTTGTTGCTGTGAAGAGACTCCAGGGCCAAGGCAGCTCTTACAAAAGAAAACATTTAAGTGGGACTTGCTTACAGTGTCAGGAAGTTAGCCCATTATCATCATGGCGGGGAACATGGCCACACCCATGGCACGGTAGCAGTGGCTGAGAGCTACAACCTGGGATGCAGGCTTAGAAAGCGACTCGGGACTTGACATGGACTTTTGAACTCTCATACCCCCAGTGACACACTTCCTTTAACAAGATCGCAACTCCTAATCTTTCTGATCCTTTCAAATAGTGCTACTCTCTGGTAATCAAGTATTCAAACATATGAGCCTATGGAGCCATTCTTACTAAAAACCACCATGAATGACTGACTAGTCCAGTAGCATTACATAGATTTATACTATTGTATGACCATCACTACTATCTTTCTCAATAATTTTTCTTCTTTCCAAACTAAAGTTCTGAATAAATTATTTATTTATTATATATAATATATATTATATTATTTATTTATAATGGCTAATTCAACAATAACTCTCCCTTCTGGGCTCCTCTAGGCCATGGAAACTATCATTCTCCTTTCTGCCTTCATGAGTTTTATGACAGATAACTTTGAGTGGATTCTGATTTCACTTAGCCTAATATTCACATTGAAATATGCATCACATTTTTTTCTCTTTTTCAAAGATGAGTGATCCTCTATTGTGAGTTACTTTCTTTACCTGGTCATCATCTCTCAACAGACATTTTGGTTGCTCCCGACTCTGCCTTTTGTGAATGATGTCACTGTAAACATCATGTATGGAAATGAGAGATTTGCTTTCAATGAACTCTTGTGTGTTCATATGTGTATGTAGATGCTCACATGTATTGTGTGCTTGTGGACATGGGTGTGTAGGTCTGAGAACAACCTCAGGTGTCATTTTTCAAGTGCTTTTCTACTATTTATTTGAGACACGATCTCTTATTGACCTGGAACTCACCAGGTAGGCCAAGCAGGCTGGTGTGTGAGCTCTAGGGACCTGCCTGTGTGTGCCTATCTTGAGACCACTGGTTTTACAAGCATCTACCGCCGTGACAACCGTGCCAGCTTTTACATGGATCCTGTGGACTTAAGTAAGACCCACATGCTTGTGAGGCAAGCGTTTTATCAATTTGGTGTCTCGCCAACCTTCCAGCGGTTTCTTAAAGCCACATGTGACTTGTGTGAGCCTTTCTTGAGTTCCTGGCTATGAGAGAAGGTTGAGCTAGGAGACAAGGCTTTGGTTTTACTCTCACTGACACAAGCCTCAAAGTCCCTGGGGCAAGTCACACGCTACCTCTGAGTTACAGGCCCTCCATCCATCAGTCAAGGGAGGTCCTTCTATTGCTTAGTGACTACACATGAGCCATTTTATATTCTGGCATAGAACATTCAGCTACTGGCGTTTACTTCCTCATAGGTAGGGTTAGGAGTGAGCAGCCCATGTGTACAGAAACATATCACATTGAGCAGACATGAATTTGACCCTCAGCCATGGAGAGGTCAGCCTTTGGGAACTGTTCACTGGTCACAACCTTTCTGAGAGGTTGCCCTGCTGGGATTAGTGATGGAAGGAAAAGAAGGTGTGAGAACCAAGCCTTGATGGTTCTTATGGAGTGGATGGGAAAGCAGCCTGCTCAGCTCCACAGTAGCCTGCCAGGCAAGCCTGCCACTGCAGTCTTGACAGGAACAAGCCACACCGATTTATGGCATGTCAGTGTGCGTCACAGCCATCAGCGGTCTTGCTTGTTAAAAAAGAAAACTTAGGGGGAGCCTGGAAATGTGGCTCAAGAGGAAGCTGGGAGGTTGCACAAACATTTCCAGGAAGGAGCAGGGGCAAGGGCACCAGCATGGCTGTTAGAGCAGACTGATTTTCAAGTCAGGACTGGTTTTAAAATTTTAAGCCATGTTTTTCTTGGCAAAAGGCACAGTTCACAGGCACAGTCAGGCCAGCTGCCTGAGTCCCAGCAGACAGGACTCCTGCTCAGCTCCAGAACTGTGTGAAGGTGCCAGGCACAGACCTGGTGGAAAATATTCCCTGACAAGGGATGCCTCCCTTTCCTTAGTCATGACTAAGTCACATGAAGAGTAGATCAGAGGACAGGCAGAGAAGATGGACAAAGGAAGCCTCCAAGAGGTGATAAAGATGGCTGGAAGACCAGCAAGATGGCTCAGAGGGCAGAACCACTTGCTTCAGCCCCCAGAACCCACATGGTGAAAGGAGAGAACCATCCACTTTATACATGGACTGTGATGCCTACATACATACATATANACACACTGTACTCAATAATGTACTTTTTTTTTTGAAAAGAGGAAAATGAGGTGCAGGCAGTAGTGGAGAAAGAGGGAAAACAGATCTAAGCTGGGTTCCACTGCCGCAGTGGAACAGCCATCGCAGACTGCAGTGTCCCAAGCTGAAGCATAGCTGAGAGCCATCGCAGACTGCAGTGTACCAACTGACAGTGTAGCTGATAACCATTGCAGACTGCAGCTTCCCCTCCTATCAGTGCCAGGAAACATGTCCTTGTTAGCACTGTTCCAGGAAATAATAAATGTTTTGAAAGAAAAGAGGGATTATCAGGATTGTTAATTTTGTTCAAGATTGTGGAATGAAAACAAATGGAGAGAAAATGGCAATAAAAGTGTGAATAAAAAGGAATAGAGCAAATGCAGACATCCACTGTATAAAACTATATTTCTCCAAACAGATAAATGGGAAAACCTCGATGAAATATATTTGGGGAAAGTGCAAATGAAACACTTCTGATAGGTAGAAATGGGGGGCATGGTGGGACTGTGGTCATTAAAGGTCACGGCCTTCAGAAACTCTAGGTCCAGGGTTCCAGGTTAGGGCTAGCCTTTACTGTCCTCAGCTTTGTCCTCTACTGCAAAGTGAGGAGGTGGTAAACACATTTGTACAGGTAGCATGCCTTATTTCCAAAATCAGACATCTCACCTGCAAGATAGCTCAGTTTTGAATTTTGACCACACATGGAGAAGAACCATGTCAAATGTAAGACAGTACACGAGGAGGGGCTTACTAAACCCACCCCCGGCCGTCTTCTTTCTGCCTTTTCCCAACTGTGACACCCAAAAAGGCCTCTGGAACATGCAAGGCATCCCCTTGGTGGGGGTGGGAATGTAGCTGAGATTTCTGAGTACTCCCAGCTTGCATGGCTCTCAGCAGCAGCTGCACCCCACTCTCTCACTGCAAGAAAGCAGGTCCCTTAGGGTTACATACCTCCAAGTAGCTCCTCTGACCTGCAGAATTCAGAACTGGCTTCACACAGACATTCTAAGTGTGGACTGAGTTGGGTCATTGGTTCCCACTCATTCCATGACAACTGTTCTGAGACACACTCTGGAGTCTGGACCCCATGGCCGCCATTCCTGAGTCTCCTTGCTCTAAAAGGTGTAGGACTAACCTCACTAACCTCTCTCTTCTACCCTGGCTTCTGTGATCCAGATAATTACAGATTCAACTGCTCTCTTCTGCCATGAAGCACCTGGGTTCTAAGAAAGCATGTCACAGTCTAGAAAGACCAGGGTATTAGAAGGGGAAGAGAGCTGAAGCTGTGTGGACAGATGAGTGTTTCCCTGAGGATCTGGGCACAGGCCTGTGATCGTCATGACCCTGGAGCTGGGCGCTGGGCGTTGAGACAAGGGAAATACTGTTGATGCAGCTTCTCTGTGACTTTGGCACTGCACCTCTCTTCTGAGTGGTTTAAAACTCAGTGCTTCTTTGGGGATTCCAGTAGACTACAGGACATAGCATTTCCATATCATGCTTTTCAACTAGAGGCTGTGCTAAATGCAGAGGCCTATGGACAGGGGTGACTGATGTCAGAGACAGTCCTTTCAAAGCGTGGGAGAAATGACATGGGAGCCTCCCAGACTCCTGCTGATCTGATGGCTTTTGTTGTATTGCAGGTCATCACAGCTGGCTTGTCACTCTTGCTGTTTGATGTGGTCCTGACCAGTGCAACTGTGGGCTGGTAAGTTCTCTGCAGAGAGAAGACACACATTCATCACGGTATTGACTTCTGCTCAAATGAAGCAGGAATGTGTGCTAAGTAGATATCTTATCCTGAGAAAAGTTTTATGTTAGTGAAGCCTTCCTTCTTTTATTTAGTCATTGAATTATTGGTTGGTTGGTTGATTGATTGATTGATTGATTGATTGATTGCAGTACTAGGGAGTACTCATGAGCTAGGCAAGCACTCTTCTCTAACCTACATCTCACACTGTAGCCCAGGTTGGCCTTGAGCTAGCATTAATCCCCCTGCCTCAGTCTATCAGATGCTGGGGTAGCAGAAATGAGGAAGCAAGCCCTGATTCTTTATCTTTCAACTGTTTTCAGTGTGTGAATTGACATTCAGAAGAGCACGCTCTTACTCTTGCACAACTCATGATATACAGTATTGTACACTTAAACAGCATGTTCTTATATATCAACATTTTCAACTGAAGATTCTCTATCTAACTAATCTCAGTTCAGCATATCACCAGAATGCCTGTTAGCCACTCATCTATCTCAGAGTTGCCATCATTGATACCTTGGTGTCTAAGGAGAGAATAATTGGCTGACCCAGAAGCCCTTACAAATCCGTTGTGGAATATTTAACTATGTAAAGATGTGTTGCATTTGTTTAACAATGTAAGGATGTGTGTCTAATTACGTAAAGAAATATTGCATTGTTTCACCTTGCCTGCTTAAGGCGTCTAATTGGTCTAATGAGAACTGAACGGGGCCATTAGCTAGGCAGGAAATGGATAGGCAGGGCTGGCGAGCAGAAACGATGCATAGGAGGAGAGGAGAAATCTAGACTCGAGAGAGGAAGAACGAGGACAGAGAGAGAAGAGAATGAGGAAGAAGAGGGGAACATGCCTGGGCCAGAAGCAAGGCAGTTGCCAGACAGACATGAGAAGCAATGAAAGTAAGATACACAGAAGGAAGAAGGGCAAAAAGCCCCATGCAAAAGGTAGATAAAGAGGGCTGGAGAGATGGCTCAGTGGTTAAGAGCATGGCCTGCTATGCCAGAGGTCCTGAGTTCAATTCCCAGCAACCACATGGTGGCTTACAACCATCTGTAATGAGGTCTGGTGCCCTCTTCTGGCCTGTAGGCATATACACAGAATATTCTATACATAATAAATAAATAAATATTTTAAAAAAGGTAGTTAAAGAGAGACAGGCTAATTTATGTATGTATGTATGTCTGCATGTATGTATGTATGTATGTATGTATGTATGTACATATGTATTGTATTTTTTTAATTGAGCCATACATTTTTCTCCACTCCCTTCCCATTCTCTCCCCTCCCCTTCTACCCTCTTTCATGGTCCCCATGCTCTCAATTTACTCAGGAGATCTTGACACGGGCTAGTTTAAGTTAAAAGAGCTAGCCAGAAATGAGCCTAAGCTAGCCTGAGCATTCAAAACTAATAATAAGTCTCTGTATCATGATCTGGGAGCTGGTGTCCATGTCTCCTACATAAAGTGGTGCGGTGTTTCCATTTAACCTATTCATCTCCTCTTGTGTAGTCTTACATCATCTTTAGGTTACTTAGCCTTTAGATTACCTAAGCACAGTCTGATTCTGGGTGGGCAGGAATGTTTTTCTCTTGTTGATACCAAAGTAATCCTGATAAATTGGTCTGTCCTGGCTACCTTGCTGGCTTTGCCTTGTGTATGCATTAGGAACTGTCCTTCAGTGACAGCCAGACTTGCTACTTCTGTGGTGTCCACAGACACTCGTTCCCCTGTACAATGGCAAACTCCTGCCTGAGTCACCCTAGGCAGACAAAAGTGAGCACACAGGGTAAGGAATTCTTGCCCTTTCTCAGTGACATTTCCTGTCTGGACAATAGCAGAAGGGTAAAAATGAGGAAACACTCCTCCGCCTTCCTTCTTCTTTTCCTCTTTATTTTATTCTTACTTGTTTACACATTGTTACTGTTGTTTTGAGACAAGATTTCTCTGTGTAGCCTTGGCTCCTGTCCTGGTACTTGCTTTGTAGCCCAGACTGGCCTCAAACTCACAGAGATCCACCTGCCTCTGCCTCCCGAGTGCTGGGAGACCCTGCTTCTGAAAGGTTCCTGCCCTTCCCAGTACTGCCATAGACTAGCGACAGTGTTTAAACATAGGGGCTACTTATTCGGTAATAGTAACAGCCAACCATAAAGAACGTGGTGGTTGGGCAGTAGAGTGTTTCTTTGGTGATGGTGATGGCATCATGGTGATGGTTGGACAGTAGAGTGTTTCCTGGATAAGGCAGCGTGGTATTTAACCAATTTTCCTCAGAGCTTTATAGACAAGATGATATCATACTGGAATTCAAACTCAGACCTTAGTGTGTCCAAAGCTCCCCAGACTCTGGGACCAACAAGCACAAGCAAAGCCTTGTCATCAGTACAAGTTAATCTGCAAGGTTAAAGCCCATAAAGGAGACCCAGGGAAGCTGGCATAAGTGTTTATCTTTCTGTCTCCAGGGTGCTAGCCAAAATTCTTGACAGTATTTTTCTTTCTTACGTGCACACCTTCATATTTTGTATAGAATTTCAATGAACCAAAGAAACCTGGGTGTTGAACTGAGTGAGAGAAATCAGAGTGAGGCCAAGTTCAGTGAGAAATCAGTTGCTCTCGGGCAAGCAGCAAGGTGGTTGTCTGGTAGGAACTTTGTCTCCAGGCTGCTTCTGTCTGTGGAATTGAGGTTATGCCCTGGGCAAAATGGAAAGAAAGGCCATTTGGACCCAATCAAGGAAGCAGTATGTATATCTATTGCAAAAGGAACCTTGGCTTTGAAATCCCTGGGTTGCTATAACTCTTGAGATTAGGGTTGGTTTTCAGCCGCAAAGAATTTTCCAGCCACAAAGTGAACCCCCAGAAGGAGAGTGTCAAGCTGTAATTCTGTGTGAGTTCAAGCATGGCCCAGTGCTAGGCCAGCTCTCGGTTTCCAGATGGGACTGGCTAGTCTTTGTCCCCTGGAGATTGAAACTAATCCAAAGTCACAAAGGGCAGGGGTTACAGGGCTTGGATTTTTAAAATGTTTTAGATCTATGTATTTTCCTGTACAGTTGTTGTTTCTTATGTTTTGATTGATTATCAAATTTTAGAAATTAGGTGATTTCTTCCTGCAAATCCAGATTCCCATACTCCTTTGGAAATGGTAGCCCGCGGTGAGCTGCAATCGCTGGAGTGCACAGATAACTGGCCTGGAAGGTGCTTTCTGTTGAGCATGGGCTGGGCCATGCCTGGCTGGCTAGTCTCTTCTGCGAGGGCAGCATCTTAGCTGCTCAGATTAGGCCATTTAGAGCAGGGTTTCTGGGTTGGCAAGACAGCTTGGTGAACAGAGGTGCCGATCCAGCTGCCACAGATTGTCTCTGACATTCACACACGTGCCATAGCATGCATGCACTCATGCTCACATGCACAGAATAGATACATTAATGTAAAAACTAAAAATAAGATCAGGCCAGGGTGTGGTGGTGTACGCCTTTAATCCCAGCACTTAGGAGGCAGAGGCAGGTGGATCTCTGTGAATTCAAGGCCAGCCTGGTCTATAGGGCGAGTTCCAGAACAGGCTCTAAAGTTACACAGAGAAATCCTGTCTTGAAAAACCAAAATAAATAAATCAATAAATAAAATCAAAATGTTCACTCTTGGCACTATTGGTGTTTGGGGCCACATAATTCTTTGTTGTGAGGTACCTTCCTGTGCCTTGTTGGATGTCATAAAGCAAACCTGACCTCTACCCTACTAGAGCTAGTAGCACCTCTCATTTATAATGGAGAATGTTTTTAGGGCACTGGGCAGTGCTCCTTAGAGACAGAATCACCGGTCTCAAGGTACCTGCAAATGAACAGAGAGAGTGTTATCTGACTTTTCAACACGATCCTAAGGAATTTGCCCATCTCCTGATTAGGGGTCTGAATCAGCCCAAGTTCTTGGCAGCATCACACAGGCACCACCCTAGGTGTGGCTTTGTATGACAGCCAGATGTGTAGCTTGTCCCTCCCACCTGCCCCCAGATGTGTGCACTGGGAATGATTTGTGTGTAAGACTGTGCGGAATGACCACATTGTACCTGCTTCCTTCCAAGGATTCCATGACAGCTCTTCACTTCTGCCTGTCATTCCCTGGGGCTGCCATCTCTCCCAGGCTGCCAGTCATGACAATGGCTCAGACTTTATCTCAGTACAAACCTCATGAACATCAAGGGTATTCAGAAAATGATTGGAAAGAGCTGGGTGTGACGTTATGCACGTGCTCAAAAATCCCAACACTCAGGAGGCCGACACAGGAAGATTACAAACTCAGAATTGCCTTGGACACTTATTCAGACCCAAAACAAAGAAAAGGATTTTCAGCCAGGCATCAATGGCGCTCACCTTTAATCCTAGCACTCCAGAAGCAGGCAGATCTCTGAGTTCGAGGCCAGCCTGGTCTACCGAGTGAGTTCCAGGACAGCCAGGACTACATAGAGAAAGCCTGTCTAAAAAGAAAGAAAGAAAAGGTTTTCAGTTATCTTTCAATCAAGACATGCTCTCCCTCTGATTTTAGATCCCCTTTCTGGAGACTACTCAAGCCTTGGTAAACAGAAAATGAATTTAGGAGCCAGGGGAGAATGTCTATTCTCTAAACCCTTTAGGACTATAGTGAATGAAACATCAGTTTCCCTTTTGAATGAATGTTGGCATTTCATTTAAAAAGGTAAAATTAAGGGCTACGGATATGTCTCCATCGGTAGTGTGCCTGCCTAAACTTAAGCAAAACCCTGGGTTCCATCCCCAGTGCTGCGTTAAACTAGGTATATTCTTGCCTATGTCGTGACTTGAAATTTGGGCTACATAACACACTGTCAAAAAAAAAGTCCATTATTTTCACATGTATAATACTTTATCAGGCTGTGAATTTTATTTGCAAGGGAATGAGATGTTAGGGAAATACATCTTAGTAGGGTAGAAGGGAGGAAAAACCAAGTAGTTGGAGTA